AATAATTTTTTTTTTAAAATAGTATTTTATTTTATTTAATTACATTATATATTTTTCATTTACATTCTTATAATTGTAGCTAATACATTTATTCCTACATGGGCTAGTATATTATTCATTTTTTACGCTTTATTAACATGTATTTTTTCCTTCTAGAATATTAAAAATTAGAATTTTATATACTATGTTTGTGTATATAGAATTTATAAAAACATTTATTATTTTAGAAATTTGTTTTCTTTTAACTTACTGATAATATTATAGGCCTATGTAATAGGAACCAAGCAATATTTTAGCTATTATATCTTTGTAATTTAATTTTAATTTTTAACCAACGAATTTTTTTCTTTTTCTTTTTATTTATATATATTATTAAAAATCGTTACTTACAATAAGAAGTATGTGTATGCTCTTATTAAGAATACTCTAAACAAGCGATCATCCCAGATAAGGTTCGAATATAAAATATCATATGTTTCTGTAAAATAAGTGAAGCCGTCTTCTTGGTGAATTTATAAACAACTCTTCTAAATCATCTGATGAGAAATTATGTGTAAATCTTTTATTTCTTTTGTGCTTATATTTTTTTCCATTTTTCGCTAAATCGTACAGATCATGCCAAAGGGGCGTAAACTAATTTAGAATGAAAAAATATGTAATGCATGCGTACACAATATTAAATATATTAACATGAATTATTTATTATGAAATAATATGAAAATTATGCTTACTTTATAATAAAAGAATAAAATGGACATTTTCCACATTGTTAAAAGAACAGCTGTGAACATTTTTACAAATTTTTTATTTAGTATATAAAACTCCTCCACTGTCGCATTAGAAGTATAACTTATTGGGTATATAATCTGTGAGATATCGGATTGCCTATGATTTACATCTTCAATTTCTTATGTATTTTGATATGCTATAAGGGGAGTTTCATCACTCATACTTGTTCTCAATATCTTATTAGGAACATGTGATTCTTGGCAATTGCTTTGCGATGGATTTTCTGATGTAAATTTTGAACAGGTTTCGTTTCCTTGCATAATCGTAATATCATCTCCTAATTCAGCTGTTTTTGGTGTTGTAATTATGTTACCTACAAATGGTAAATCATCAGAATCTTGCAAATGGTTAATACTTCCCGAACTAGCACTTACCATTTGCTTTTGAGTTATATGTTGTACAGAATTTACTTTAGACAATAGGTTTTGTGGTTCATATTGGGCTCCACATTTAAAGTATTCAGTACATTCTTGCCATAAACCACAGCAGTCTTCATCCTCAATATGCCTCTCATAGAGTTCACTATTATAAGTAAGATATTCACGATGCATTTTGTTATTCTTCTTGTCATAAATAATTTTATTTTCAATATTTTTATAGTTTTGAAAATAATCAAATATCTTTTTTTCTTTAAAATATTCTAACTCATTTTCTAGAATGATAAAAGAACCACCAAAATTTTGAAAAAAAACTTCTCTACAAATTGGATCCGTTATATTTTTAAATTTAACCCTAATACCAGACACATACATTTTTGTATCGGGATTTTTAAACAGTTTCCATATTTCACTATATAATCAGTGTAAAATATATTTACGAGTATCTTCATAACCTTCCTTTTTCATTTTACCAATTTCTTTATAATTTCTTACAAGTTTTTTACAAAGTATACTTAACTCATTTTCGCCTTGTTCGGCAGATGCTATGGCATCACATGATTTATCAAATTCAGTACTATTTACATCTTTGTTAAAATAATTATATGCTTTATACAATGGGAATTCCCTAAATATGATTTCCCTAAAGTAGAAAAATTATATAAACATTAGTAAGAAATATTTATTTAAGATATAATTTATTGTGCCTCAGAGGAAATGGAGCATCAAATTTTGTATATACTATGATTTTTAAAGAAAATAAAACGAACCCTTTCTTCTTTATAAAAAGCTAACATTCTGCTATAAGACAAAGTAACTGAATGAAATAATAGAGACTCAAATTATACATATTTTGGTATATAAAAAATAGCATAAATTATGCTTATACATTCTACAAGAACATAATGATTTTAAAAATGAACAAAATATACTTTTGTAAAAGTGCTTATATATAGATTAAATCTAAACTATTAATGCGATATTAATATAATAAAAAAAATATATATTAAAGAAAAATTTACATAAAATATAGGAACATTAACAGCTCCCATAAAAAAAAAAGAAAAATTAGCTTTCTTAAATTTTTAATTAGTATATGATTTTCTACACGAATTTTTAAACTCAGTTGTATATAACAAAGATTTTAAATATTAAGCATACCTAAAATGTTTTTACAATTTTTAGGATAACAAAACATATGGATTATACTGTAGGTGTCAATAAAATAATAGTATGCATATATAATACATTTTAAATTTTTATTTATACAGTTCCAATTACTTTTTAGAACTAAACTGTAATTTCATAACATCTTACAAGGTCCTTTTGGAAATATCTATTTCTACTTGTTTTTTTCATCATTTTCAAAATAATTGGAAAAAAGTATATTTTTCGAAAACCAAAATATGAAACTGAGTAAATCATAGCTCTTACATTTTCCTTGGGGATATATTCATATTTTTTGAAGTTAGCATATGTAAATATAAACAGCAATATCTTTCTTGTTACTTTACTTCCACAACCCTTTTAATATAAAGTTGAATATTTTTTTATATGAAATATATATCCTATTTATTTTCATTAAATAGAAAAATTAATAATTTTTCTTTTTTTTACACGGTTAATACAGAAAAAAATATATTAAAGAGATGAACAATGTATTTATATTAATGGAGTTTTTTTGAAAAGATTAAGAAGCATTGTTCTATTTCTAGCCTCAAAATTTATTGTCATTTCTTAATAATTATTATCAATATTCAATTAGGATTTACAAAAAAATTGAAATATAAATAGTACATAAGTTTATAATTTTAATAAATATATTATCTTAAAATTAATTATATTCTGCTGTGGTTTTATTGTTCTATTTATCACATAGGTCTATTTCGAATTTATGAAAAATTCTAAGGACAGGCTTAGAAACATTGAATGTGTTAACATTATACAGTGATTCAACAAGAAATAGGTGTTCTTACCACTGAATATGATCAATAGAAAATATTCACAATTTCTTAAAACTATGATATACATATAAACATTTTTGCAATATATTTTTTAAATTTACATAATTTTTTAATGTTAATATATTAAGAAAATAACCAAAGAAAAATGAAACTAACCCATGAAATATTACTTACTTTTAAAAGGTAATATTAATCTATGAAAAAGTAAAGATATAATAGGTTAAATTTTTTCGTTTTTATAACAATTTACTATACGCTGGGGGAACTATTTAGACTAATATTTATGAACATATATTGGTCATTCGCTTGGGGAAAATATGTGTGCTTCTATGTATACGTTTATTGTATTTAACTTAGTATTAATAGAACCATAATTCTTTTTATACTAAATAAGCATATTGTGGAAGCATATGAAGAGCTGATATTAACATTACAAAATTTACATTATTTAAAAACATATTTGGAAGTGACATTATTATTATATACTCTATGTTAATTTATAGGGAATGAATTACGCTATTAAGTGTTAAAACATATTCTTTTAAATTAAAAATATCATTTATTAAAAAAAATTTACGCTCATACATTTATGAGGTTAAATAATTGACATAAAAAAAAATCCTAAATAACGAAAAAAAGAACAAATGCTAAAAAAGAATAACATCAATAAGAATATTTTAAATTTAACAATACGTGTATATACAAATACATATTAAAAATTAAACGTATTCTGCTTTAAAATAGTTGAATACGCCAATGTTTTTACATTAAATACTATTTAATACAGATTTGCAAATGTGTATATATAAATAAATTTTATCATCACACTTTATAGCTACAATAACAAACTCATGAGTAGGCATATTTATATATATTACTTGTTTTCTTATCATTTATTAAAATTTTGTTTAATGAATACATATAATTACTATATTGATATATATTATTTCATAATAATAAATAACCTTTTGGATTTGTTGTGTTACTAGCAACTAATTCTTTGTGATAATGAATAAAATCTTGTTTTCTCCATATTTTATGTGTTATTAAATCCATATAGAGACATTAAAATATTTTATGATAGATACTTGATGATTCTCTTGTTAATGATATTATTTTATACGCGTATATGTTTTTAAGGAATCTATGAATTATGGTAAACTATATGTATTTTTTTCTTTCGAGGGCCTTGGTGCATACGCTCTTCAGGGTAATTTAATGATTTATGGCTAGGCTCTCTATGATACATATATTTATTTTTCTTTTTTCCTTTAATTCTATAACGAAGCCATGATCCAAATGGGGTAAACTAACATACAAATAAATAAAGTAAAAACATTTATAAAAAATATAATTTTTACTTTTGATGGAAATTCTCGTAAAATTCATAATACAGAATATTTATATTTAAATTAAATTTTTATTATACCTTATAATAAAGGAAGAATGTGAAAATTGCACCCAGTGTTATAAGGATTACTACCCCTATTCGAAAAGGAAGATTTTGTAATATTGAATTTGTAGATGAAGAATCAATAGTAAAAGTGTCATCATCCACATTTCCCACACCACTTTCGTTTGTAATATATTTCGAATTATAATTCGCTGAATTTATTATAGCTTTATATTTTTTGGATTTTCTACAGTATTCTGATGTTGTTTTTCCATCTGAACATGCTGTTTTTGCTTCTCGGATGTAATTTTTACGGGCACTTCTCGTAACCTCTGGAAAGAATGTGTACAAATTTGAGGTTCTAGGACTCTCGGGATTTTCTCTGGTCGCACTATTTTCATTTTCTCCTGTTATTTTTCTATGATTATCAGAGATCAAAACTGCATTAACTGTTTTCCCATCAAGCGTTATCTGTTTCCCATATAACTGTGAAGCACTAGTTTGCTGGTTTTTTACAGGTCCTCTAGGAGAATGTTGATTTTTTAAGTGTGGACTATGTTGTGGTTCCTGGCATCTTAAGCCTTTATTTTTAAATTCAGAATCATTGACACGAGAACATGTTAAATATTTAATAAACATGTTATCTTCTGAATTAGCATTAATAGTCTGTGAATCTTCAGATGTGTTAGGTTTTATTGATTCTTTTATTCTCTTACATTCTTCTCTATTTCTCGATTCTAGTGCTGATATAAGATTTTGGGGATTATAAGCCTTGTCACAGCGCAAAAAATAATCAGTACACAGCTCAGCACCATAGGAACAACATTCGTTTTTGTGCATTTTATATAAAGAATTAATATATTTAAGGTATTTTAAATATAGATAATTTTCCATTTTTTCACAATTAACGTTTATGTTAATTGCATCATAGTTTCTAAAATATTCATATAAATGCTTCATCTCTCTACATTCAGAGTATAGACAATTATAATTGAAGAAGCAAGGCTTATAATTAGTTAATTCTTTATAGCTTAATAATTTGGGAGCTTCTTTTTTAGGTGTTCTTGTTTGTGTATTTTCCATTAGAGCTCCAGGGTGTGCCTGTGCATTAGGTGGCCCAAATACACCAGCTCCGTTCGATGCTTGAGGTACTTCACTTCCATTTGGTTCTGCAGCTCCTAAATTTTCTGATGTTAAAAGAGTTACACTGTCTGAAGGAGATTGAGTTACTTCAGAATTTTCAGGATTTTGAGCATTTTTTGATGTTTTACTTGGTCTTGGTGGAGGTTCTCCAACTTTTGATTTATAATTAATCTCAAAGTCTTTCTTAATTAAATCATAATTAATTTTAAAATATGCGTCTAGTAGTTTATGAACATCTGTTATGTCCAAAATGTTTTCACCCCTATTTCTATGTAATTTATATAATTCATCATATATCCAAAAATTTAAATAAGTACAAAGGTCCTTGTGATTTTCATTGTTAAACTTATCAATGGTTAGTAATTCTTTTAGGTTTCTTATGATTTTTTTACAGATATTTTTAATATTGTCAGATAAATCATTACAATGAATACTATCATATTTATCATCGTTAGAAAATTCTCTTCCTAATTCCTTATATATTTTGTCAGAAGGTAACATTATAAGAACCTTATCCTAATGAAAAAAAAATATAATATTAGATAAATTATTTATTTTAAGAATATCTTGTTTTAATTCATAGAAAAGTATATGTTCTAAATATACATTATTAAAATTGTATGATTAAATAAGATAACGAACATATTCACTTTTTAATTGTTCATTATATTCTACATAATCGGATGGTTTAGCAGGTCTTGTAATTTGTTTTTCATGATTTCTCTGTAAAAGGGTTAAGTTCTCAAAAACTTCGAACTTTTTTATAAATGTATCGTAAATTTTACAATTCTGTTTTAATAAAGATAAGTTTTCCTCATTGCTAAATTTCTCTTTAAAAAGTTTAATTTCATTTTTATATCTATGTAGTGTGCCAAGTTGTCTACCTTCTTCTTCTAATTTTTGGTATAAGTTGAAAACATATATAATATACCTACAAAATTCTTCTTTCTCTACCGCATTTGATGACCACGCACTTGTTATGTAATCATAATATTCTAAAAATTCATATAAAACTTTTTTATTTTTTAATACATCTATAGAAGTTTCTATTTTAAATTTGTCTTCACATATTTGTTTAATCTTTGTGTTAGATTCTTTTTTATGCATAAACTCACTTAATCTATTGTAAATCCAAGCAATATCAGAAAAGTCCATGTCACTTTTTGTTATCTTACCATATAACCAATAATTAAAGTAATCGCAACATTTGGCTTCATCTTTTTCGGAGGATGGACATATTGAATTCCATTCATTAAATATATTTCCAACATGTTGATAAAGACTACATAAATATCCCTTACTTCCATTATTATATATTTCAGAAGTGCATTTTCCTTCAACTTTTTTATTATCTAACAATGTATAGAAATGACGTAATTTTGTGTTCTTCAGAAGGGAATTCTATGAATAAGATTAATAATATAATTGGTGTATTTTCTATAATGAAATAGAAACATATTATATTTTTCAAGAAAAAACTGCATATTCAATTAAAATATTATAAAAAGCCATTTTGACAAAATTCTATTGAGTACATTTTCTAAAAATTTATCAAGATCAAAAGAATTTTCTTTTTCGCTCATTATGTGTAAAAGATGTGTAAATGTTTATAATTATCCACAGGAAACACAGAACAAAAATATATTTACATATTTTATACTTTTTCTATTATAATACATAACGTTATAAAATAAAACATATTTAATATATATTATTATGTTTAATCATTTTAGTATTATTAATATTCTATTAAGCACATTTTACTACATACAAAATATAACATAAGTTGAGGTTTTTCAATTATGTACAATATAATATAATGTTGTAACATGCTATAAAGCTTAGCTATGTGAATTTTTATGCTTATATTAGTTTAGAAAAATAGTACAACACAAGGAATATTTTTTTTAAAACATATATTACAGATTATTCAATATTTATCACGGAATTTTTCTAATAATAATTTTTGTCTAATATTGGTTGTGTTTCAAATGATTGTGGAAATGAATAATAGTTTTTTTTCTTCTATCATGATTACAATAATATTACTGATGTAATTAAGAATAACTTTGGAAAAAAAAATTTTAATGATACACAATAGCATATTGTTCAAAATTTTAGAATGGGCATAACATCAAATATGCCAAAATGCATAAATACTGTATGTTATTATAAAGTACATACAACAAAAAAAAAAGTAAACTGTCTATTTTAATAGTGAAATGGCTTATATCACAATACAAGTGTTGTTACAATTCATAAATTTTATAAATTCTACTTATATGAATTAAAAAATCATAACGAAATGCTAGTAATCACTAACACATCAGAAAAATATAAGATTTTTTTCTTCTTTTTTAAATCAAACTTGTTCATATGGTAAATGAGACTATTATATTAAAAAAAATATTATAAAAATTCAAACAATGTTACATTTTCGAATTATTCTTTATTAAAGGAAATTATAATATTAAAATTAATTATAAACAAGTTATATGGAAGAAAAATAGAAAAAAATAATTAAATATTCACAAATTCTAACTATTAAAAATAGAGTTATGCAAAAAAATTATATTGTATCATTATTAATATATATTAAGCAATTGAACTCACGGGAAACATTTATAATACGTTTTTTACTCTATAAAATAATCACAAGTAAAAAAGCATACTGATAACTTCACTCATTTTTATTAATTTAGGAAGTGTGTTTCCAATTAATAATGCTATAATTCTCTCACTGAATAAAATATAAAATAATTTTTATTTCCATTTTGCGTAAAAAAAATGTCATTTCAAAGTATCTTAAAATATGTCATATAACAGAATAACAAAATTTTCTTTCTTTAAAATTACTTCAAAAACTTTGATAGACGTTTATATCTAACTGAAACAAGTATTAATTAGGAAATATTGTTAATTTATTAAATTATTAATATAGATTGATAGAATTATTTATATAATATGTTTTATACAAAATACCTATGTGCTTTATAGACTCCTAATTTATTGAGGGGAACAATATTTATGAATTCATTTTTTTATACATGAAAAAAATTCATTTAAAAACTTAATTTTTTTTTTTTTTGTTTGAACTGTTTAATTCTGTTATGAGCATTAAAATTTTCCTTTTTATTTTCATGTACATAATATAAAGAAATAATAATTATTGTAGCTAATAAAGAGTAAGATAGGAGTTAAATTATTTTCAATAGTAAAAAACAGTTTTTTTCTTCTCTATTATGGATATACGTGTATACATATTTCTTTATTTACGCATAAAATATTCATAATAACATATTTGAATTTCCAATATTTTCCATACCATTTCAAAATTTATACATCTACATAATTACAATGTTTTATGTATAGTTTTTAAAGCTTTTCTCTAATGTGCTTAATCCGTTGAAAAAGAAAAAGACAAAGTTACCTATTTCATATAATTTCTAATTTCTATAACTTATTTACTATAAATACAAATTTAAACTTATTTCTGTTATATTTTCATCCTTAATTCTAGGTTTTTTTTCTTTATAATAATTAATTAAATATTTTAATTGAATGGTGTTTAAAATAGTTGCATTGGTACATATATTGTAAGAATATAACATTTTTAATAATAAATTTGTGTTGTATTAGATTTGTTAAAATACATATTCTAATTAATTTCAAAGAATTATTGGTACATTTGTACCGTAGCACTGTAACATTAAGCTTGTCTTTATTTTATATATTCTAAAAAACCTAAGTGGGAACATTCTAAAATGCATTTAACATCCATATGTAGCATTTGTATAATTGTAATGATATACATAATATTGAATGATCTGAACAAATTTAAATTTAACTTGATATTTTTACAACTTTATATTGTGTAGAAAAAATGTGCATACCGAGGAAAGTATATTACAAAAATATATAGTAAATAATATAATAATTTCATTATTTTATTATAGAAAAGAAATATATATTTATTTTTCACAAAATTATCTAGATAAATATTTTTTATTATTTCAAAAATATCATTTTTCACAGACAATTATTTTTATATTTTTATTAAGTACTAATAAAACTCTTTAGTGATTTTAAACCTTGTGATAGTAGAAAATACTAGACATTTTAATTGGCTTTTACATATTTTTTTTTGCATAATGTTTCTGCCATATGGATATAAATTTAATACTTTTAACAATTCTTTTGTAAATACCAAAATAACTGTTTTGTTTTTGTCTTTTAATACTAGGTGATACAGTTGAAATAGAAATAAATGATAAAAAAAATTTGTTTGTAGACACTTATAATAAGTGAGCTTATTCGTATTATTGGACAATATAATGTATGATAAAAAAAAAAATATTTATTCTTTATATTATAAATACGTCTAGGTAAAAGAACAAAATAATAAATTTTTTTTAAGAATAGTTTATTATGAATTCATCTAAATTTTTATATTAATTTTGTTTACATATAAGTTGCATTATGTAATATAGTTTCTATATTCTTAGAATAAAATGATATAGAAATAATTTTATTTTCATTGAAAATGTATAATATTCTAAAATTTTTGAACTATGTGAAATGTTTATGGAAACACTCTTTTATATATTTTACGGTGTCATTAAAATTTGTAAAAATAACAGAATGAATAGAATCACATTATGAATATATACGTATAGTACTGATATTACATTACCATGTTATTAATTGTTTATCAAATTGCAACATATACATATTTTAATTAAATATTAGAGATTTATAAAAGATTTATATTTCTTCATATATGTACATGGTTACTAATAAAAACGCATCTATTTAAATACATACAACAAAAATGAATAGTAACATTAAGACACTTTAAATGGATATAATTAACATGCACTTATTAGGGTAAAAAACTACAAACTAGAAAACACATACTTGTAACATTAAATATGTGAGATATGAAATTTATATGAAATTGTTAATTTAATTACAGAATTTACTGAATGTTTCCATGAAACAATCGCAGAACACATGAAAATGAAAGAACAATTCCACTCATATCGAACAAAAATAAAAACTAGCTTTTGAAGGAAAACAAAAAAAATATGAAATGTATCATGCACAACAATGTTCGTTTACATAAAAATTACATATTTACATGTAAAAATATGTATAATATATTAAAAATACCCCAAAAAATATATTTGTTGGGAAAACGTGAAATACTAATTTTGATATTTCCGTAAAAGAAGAAGAAATATAGATTCGTACATACTACGTAGGAATAATACATTATAATAAAAGAAAAGTTCAAAATACAAAAAGAGTGGATTACTGTAGAAAACAATATTATGTACTCACGTAGGCACATAAAATTTATCTTTACACTTAAATAATTATTGGAAAAATTAAAGTAATTAAAACACACATTATACAATATTATTTTTTGTTTATTGGTTCTATTAATGTATACTATAAATATGATTAATTTATCATAATATTAAATTTAATGGAGTAATTGTTTGTCTAATGATTTTAAATATTCTGATGCATCATTCCATAAAAATTTAAGGCTTTTAATAAAAATATACATACCCATCAGTAAACTAGTTATAAGAAGTGGAAACGCTACCAAGGTAGGATAATATTTAAAAAATTTCCCAATAGCCATTAAAACTGATGCTAATAGAAAAACTATAAGGGGAGATCTCATTACTATAAAAAGTGTTTTCACAATTTTTGTTTTTAATTCATTAGGGTTATAATTTTCTTGATCTCCTAATTTAGCTACATTATTATATAAAGAGAAAATTTTATTTTCAAAATGTTTATCTATTCTTTTTAAAATGTTAGGTTTACATCCTTTATGCTCATGGCTTGATAATAACCTTCTATTTTTCCAATCAAGAATGTCTTGAAAATTGTGGATCTCATTATATGATTTTTCATAATTACTCTAAAAAGCATTCATAATTATTTTTCAAATAAATTTTATATAGATATATTGAAAATAATATTATTGCCAATATAAAATAGGAAAATAATAGAAAAATATGTATATATTCAATAAAATTTCTTATACCTCATTGTGAAAATAGTACATAAAAATCACGAGTATAAGTGCCAGAATTTTAAATAAAAATAAGTGGCTCTTTTTTTTATTCAAATGATAATTCATTATGGCTAAAATATTATTACTCTAAGAGATATTAAATATATATATAATTCCTATTACACAAGAAACTTTTTAGAATTTTTTGTTACGTTTTGTTTATTTAAAATTTTCTAATACTAATATTTTAACTTTCATACACCTATTGTGTAGAGATGTACTTAAAAATAAATACAGAACTTACTAAAGTAATTAAATGGTGTTTTATGACAGTTCTACATGAAATTATTGTAAAAAAGGAAATATAATGCGTCTGAGCTACTTGAATATATTTGGTGCTTGATCGTAAATAATATATCAGATGCTACATTAGTTGTTTATAAATTAAGTTAAAATTCTAATAATTTCATTTCAAAAATATAAAAAATTAAATATATTCGCTATTTTCAAGGAATATATATATTTTTTGTACATAAATATATAAAATGTAGATTTAACACAATCAATCACATTAGGGAATGGTAAAATTTATGTTAGTTTACAGTTAACATATATTTATTTATATGTATAATAACTTAAGGTTTTCAGTATTTTATTAAAACTCATAAATTGTGTAGATAAAAAAAAATAAAAGTTAGAATCATATAATTAAAATAATTTTTTTATCTATTAGTTACAAAATATAACACAATAGTATTTTAACATATATGTTTTTATAATATGCATAAAGTTTAATTCATTATTTATTTCTAAATGAACAATCTCATATAAATTTTTCTTTCGATGTTCTAATTTTAATATATTTTATTTTTTAAATCGATATGTTTAAAATTTTATAAATTAGAATTATTTTTTTATTTCTAAACATTAAATACACTTATATTTGAGGTGTAGATGTATAATATAGAGTCACACGTCATAGAACTATTTTTTATTTTATTATATTTTTAATAAATTTAATACTTTTATTAAATATATAAATAAGGAAAACAACAGAACTTCCAAAGCAATATAAAGAAAGAGAAAATAAATGGTTTGCCTAAATGCACCCGATATTTATAAAGTATTTAAAAGAATTTAAAGGTCACATTTTTTTAAAATTAATTAAATAAAATTAT